TTTAATTCACTGTGGGTTGTTTGGCCAGGTTCTGAGCCATGTTGATAATAATGGAAAGTGAAACGTGTCTTAGACATTAGTGTCATGAGACTGTATAATGATACAATTGATTATCTTGGTTAACCATCTATTGAATGCTATTGCTTTATTCAATGCTTATATTTGGTTTAGTATATTTCTACTGGGCTGTGGCTCACCCTATATGGGAACATCATTTTCAGGTCCAGGTGATGTGCTACCTCCAAGGAATTAGCTTGGAAGGATTTAGAGTTGAAGACTCTGTTTAGATTAGTTGTTATTTCAGTTTATTTGATATTACATGTAAACTCAAGCCAAGGGCTTAATTTGTAGTTGAGTTAGTACTCACATTTTGTGTCCAAGTGTTGGCTTGGAAAGATGTAAGCCCATAGGGCATTTATTTTGATGTTACATGTGATATCCTTCAATAATGATACTCTGATGAATGAGATAATGATTGGTTTTGTTTTATCAATGCATGCTACTGTTATATATTATGGGTTTATTTTGTGGGCGTTACAACTTGGTATCAGAGCGTACCGGGTTTGAATACTTTGGGTACGTAGGAAGTGATTAGTATCACAATAGCTTTGTCTCGTTTGTTAGAGATTTAGATGTAGTGTTATATGCTTATGTGATAACATGTTTACGTGACTACTTGGGTATGGGATTTGGTTTCTAGGATATTGATTGGATCCTTGGGTTTCTATGAGTCTTGTTGGAAAAGCACTTGATCAATGTTGTTTCTAACCGGAACTCTAGCAATGCCACAGGACAATCATTATCCGGAAACGAAATTCGTAAGTGTTATGTGATTATGTGTTTACGTGGAATGAATTATTGTTGTCTAAGAATTAGGACGAGAGTGTAATAGCTTCGGCTCATTTTCTTTTGTAGTTATGGCTATGTCGGGTTTTGATGAAATTTTGGGTATGGACTGGTTATCGTCATACCGGGCTGTTATCGATTGCTATCGCCAGAGGGTCACGCTATGTACCTTGAGCGGGGAGTGTTTTCATGTTCTGGGAGACCGGGTTGGTAGTGTTTTGCCACCGGGGTATGATCCGCGAGGGCGGGGTGAGCTTAGTGGTCTACTGGCCAGCTTTGAGAGTGGTGAGTGTGATGAGACCCAGATTGTGTTGCCAATGGTGGTTTGTGAGTACTCGGATGTCTTTCCCGAGGATCTTGTTAGTCTGCCACCGCATCGAGAGATTGAGTTCTCTATTCATCTAGTGCCCGGCACGGCGCCGATTTCTATGGCACCTTATCGTTTTGCCCCAGCCAAGTTAGTTGAGTTGAAGATTCAGCTCCAGGAGTTGCTAGATAAGGGCTATATTCGTCCTAGTGTTTCACCGTGGGGAGCACCGGCCCTCTTTGCTAAAAAGAAAGGTGGTGCTTTGAGACTCTATATAGATTACCGGAAGTTAAATCGGGCTACGGTTAAGAATAAGTATCCTATGCCTCGTATAGATGATCTGTTCAATCAGTTGAAGGGTTCCCGTTGTT